CTACCAATCGTGCCTTGAAGGTTTGCACCTTACCATCCATGTCAGTCTTCTTTTTGAAGACCCATTTGCACCCAATGGGTTTGATCCCTTCGGGTGCATCAACCAAAGTCCATACTTGGTTGGTGTACATGGAATCCATTTCGGACTGCATGGCTTGACGCCATTCCTCAGCCTCGGGACAACTGATTGCCTCGAGGTAGGTCTCCGGCTCATCCTGGTCGATAAGCATTACGTCACCCTCAAAGGTTAGGAGGAATCCATACCTTTCAGGTTGTGTGCGTAACCGGTTAGACCTACGGGGTTCTTGTGTATCTTGAGCATTTTGAGGTACAACAGTTTGTTCCTCTAGCTCATGTTCCAGAACCGGCGCGGTAGTTTCTTCGTCGTCTCGAATTTCTTCGAGCTCTATCTTTCTCCCGCTAGTTGCGATGGAGAGAAATTCCTTCTCGAGGAAGACACCATTGCGAGCAACGAATACCTTCTTATCGATATGGTGATAGAATGAATACCCTCGAGTTTCCTTTGGGTATCCCACGAAGAAACACTTATTAGACTTGGCGTCAAGCTTGCCATTCGTCATAAGACGTTTGACATAAGCCTCACATCCCTAAATCTTTAAGTGTGACAGAACCGGGCATTTGCCCGTCCATAGCTGGTATGGTGTTCCTTCAACCGCCTTGGTTGGAACTCGGTTAAGAGTATATATTGCAGTGCTCAGCGCATACCCCATGAATGATTCTGGTAGAGTCGAATGACCCATCATAGAACGAACCATGTCAAGCGGGTTCGATTCCTCCTTTCAGAGACACCATTCCATTGTGGAGTCCCAGGAGGTGTGAGTTGGGATAAAATCCCATGCTCTATAATATAGTCATCGAACTCACCACTTAAGTATTCTCCACCTCGATCGGATCGTAGTGTTTTAATACTTTTTCCAAGTTGTTTTTCAACTTCATTCCTGAATTCTTTGAACATTTCAAAGGATTCTGACTTGTGTTTCATGAGATACACATAGACATATCTACTGAGGTCATCAGTAAAAGTGATGAAGTATGAATAACCACCTCGTGCAGTTGTATTGAAAGGCCCGCACACATCACTATGAATGAGTGCCAGAAGATCACCAGCTCTTTCACCGTGTCCGGTGAAAGGAGATTTGGTCATCTTACCCAATAAACAAGATTCGCGTGTGTCATATGATTCAAGATCAAATGACTCCAGCATTCCCGACCGATGTAGCTTGGATATGCATTTCTCGTTTATATGGCCTAACCTACAATGCCATAGGTATGTTTGGTTCAAACCGTTCGGTTTGTTCCTCTTGGCTGATATGTTATAGACAGGCATGTCCAAGTCAAGGACATATAACCCATTGGTCATGTTGGCATTAGCATAGAAAACATTCTTTCTGTAAACGGAAAGGGACTTGTCTTTAATAAAAATGATGAAACCATTCTTATCAAGACATGAAACAGAAATAATGTTTCTGCTAATTGCAGAAACGTACAAGCAATCATTTAATTCCAACATTAGACCTCTAGACAAGACTAAACTATAAGTTCCGATTGCCAAAGCTGCAACAGGTGCACCATTGCCGACTCAAGGTTCAATCTCGCCTCGAGCTAACCGTCTACTCTGCTTCAGTCCCTGCATGGTAGTACAGATATGAGACCCACATCCAGTATCTAGTACCCATGATGAAGATATAGACATGTTAACTTCTATAACATACACCTCAGAAGAAATGGGCGTACCTTCCTTTTTCTTGGTTGCGAGGTATGTCTTGCAGTTTCTTCTCTAGTGGCCTGCCTTACCATAGTGATGACATTTGCCCTTTGCAACTCCTCCTATGGGTTTTTGGGTTGCAGATGAAGTGGACTTCGATTTAGGCTTTCCGACCGTCCTAGCCTTAATCCTAATCCCCTTCTTCGGCTTCCCCTTTCTGCCTTGGACCATAAGGACGGAAGCACTCTTGCCCTTAGTAAGGTTCTCCTCTGCAGTCTGGAGCATTTTAAGAAGCTCCGGAAGGGGTTTGTCAAGATCATGCATCATGTAGTTCATGACAAAACCTTTATACAGCTCAGGGAGCGACTGCAGGATCAGGTCCGTTGCCAGCTCCTTCTGCAAGGAGAACCCGAGTTTCTCCAGATTGGTTATGTAACCAATCATTTTGAGAACGTGTGGACCGACCGGGTTCCCTGAATAGAGCTTGCAACTAAAGAGAGCCTTACTCACGAGAAAACGTTCATGCCTGGATTGCCCCTGGTATAGCTGCCGCAAGGCCACGATCATCTCGTGGGCCTTCATGTCCTCGTGCTGTTTTTGCAGCTCGGGTATCATGGTAGCCAGCATGACACAGCTAACCTGGTTATCATCCTTAACGTGTTTCTCGTAGGCATCTTTGACCGCTTTCGGGGCGTTAGCGGGAGGGGCAGGAGGAATGGGCTTTTCGAGCACATACTCTTTCTCATCCATGCGGAGAACAATGGAGAGATTGCGTTGCCAGTCAACAAAGTTTGTTCCGTTCAATTTATCTTTATCCAGAATGGAACGCAGGGCGAGGTTGTTTGTGTTGTTGTTTGCCATCTACAGAATTTTGCGAAGGTAGTTATTATCATGAATTAAGTATCTAATAGGTCTTTATTAAATACTCTCCCACTATTTCTAACAAGTCAACTACCCTCAGGTACGAAACTTATTGACTTGGGGTTTCTATTTGAAGAATACCCTAGCGGGCCAAGATCCATATTTTATTTAACTATAGTTGTGCTTTGCATCTTGCCCTACAGTTAAATTATTTAGGTAGGAATTCATTCTAATTGCAATCGTTATTACAACTCTTGGTTCGATGGATTCTTTTAAATAAAATTCTTAATTGGGCCAGATCCATATTTCATTTAACTATAGTTGTGCTTTGCATCTTGCCCTACAGTTAAATTATTTCTCGTAGGAATAAATTCCAATTGTAACAATTTACAACTCTGGTTGGATGATCTGATTTTATTTATTGATCCTACCGCAGTGCCCTAAGTCTCTCATCCTTATGACCAAGACTTAGTTAAGACTAACCCGGGGCGAGTCAGTACCCTAGTTACGGGTTTCGCGCCTAACCAACGTAAACCGGGCATCTCACTTGGGTGAGTCCGTTACCGATCTAAATTGGGTTTGACGAGTGACGGGGCGTCGGGGTGGCATAGACTTAAAATTATGAGGGATTTGTAACGCAGTCTTGTCTATGGCATACACCGCGCGTATGCACTAGCGAAAATCACATACATGCATACATTCAATCATACATCACATGCATAATAAGTAAACGTGAAATGATTGTGGCTCCTAAAGAAAAACAAACGACAACGCCTTGATCAAGAGATCTCTATCTCCGGCCCATCACGTCTTCCTTAGGATTCTCTATCACGAACGGACTTCGTCTTCTTATCTTCTTATAATTTTCGAGAGAAAAGAATATTTGAGGTAAAGAAGAGAATTGCATCCAGAGTATAGAGATGAGGCACGACACGCAGGCCGTATTTAAAATTACAACAAATATAACTAAGCCACAATCATCCACCATGCAATAATACATACAAGCATCACATGCATCACATCATACATATTAAAGCATACACCGGGCGAACCGCGCTCGCCCCAGACCTAGTTTATTCTATTCCACGGAATAAACTATCAACAATAAATTAATTAAACTAGCAAGTAATTTAATTAAAAATCATAAAATACTTTAAATTTCCAGAATGTTAGAAATTAGATTTTCTAAATTCCAGAAAATATAATATTTTATATTTACCGTATTTATATATATTTAAATTCGAAAAAGGGCTTTTATTTCGAATTAAATATATATATGTTTTCTAAATTAGCAAATAATTGTTGGAGACTCCCAGTAAACTTTATTAATCTGGAAATCCTAAAATTCCAGAATGGATAAAATTTAAAATTTTGAAAACCATTTTTCAAAGATAGAAAACCGAAGTTATATTGTGAAAATATATTTCGAAATTCCAAAAATATCAAAATTTATTTTCCAAGTCAAAAATAAGTTCCAGAACCAGAATATGATTTTTCGAGAATTTAAAATATTAAATTTGCAATTTAAAATAATTAAAAATCGGACTAGTGAATAGTACCGATCCAATTACTTCAAAAATACAAAATAAATATTTTACGTGTTTAAAAATTATGAAAATTTTTATACAAGCTTAAAATCTCTAGTCGCAACTTATTATGAATTAAAATTAATTTTTGATCGTGAAAAATAAGTTTTCCCATTTTCTATTCAATAAACGAATTTAAAAATAGAAAAATAGGAAATTAATTCCAAAAATAGATTTTAAAATTTCTGAGTTATATTGACATGTCAAATACTTCCCAGAAAATATAAAATCTAATTTTCATAAATATTAAGTATTTATGGCACAAATAACAATTATTCTACACATTAACTACTTAATAAGAATAATATAAAAATACCCCAAACAGTAATTCCAAAAATTACTGAACAAAATTATATTAGGTCCAGTATCTAAATATGGCCACCTAATTAAATTTTTAATGGGATAATTTTTTTTTTGTCTCCAAAATTTATTGACTAATCTACAAAAACAATAACGGTAAAAACTACTACTAAACTAGTAACTTCGTAAGCCGGCTCCGATACCACTGTTGTGAAACGAGGCTTGGATAACGCAGCGGAAAACAAAAATTTATAGTCCAAAACTCGATTCCACCCAAGAACAACTTACGTAAATTACTAGTTATAGTATGAAATTTACCTTAACGGTGAAAACGGAGAACGGAGGAACGGTCGGGGATGGTTTTGAGGAGATGAACGTAGCGCCAAACGTATGAAGCCTCCAACGTATCCACATGAACTTGCTCCGGAGTCCAAGATTAAACTTGTCCTAGCAAGTTTAATATAGGATAGTAAAAACTATAATAATACTACTTTGGGAGTAATAAATATATAGTAAAATATTTATCTTATAAATATTTCTTTATAATATTTTGTGTATATTTCTAACACTTTAGAGAAATAACTTTGAACACAAAATAGGATTTTTCTTCTCTCTTCCTTGTGATGACCGAAACTCACACATGAAATGGGGTGGGATTTATTTCATTTTATAACACATTAATTAATGTAAGATGCCATGAAGCTTCCTCTAGACATTAAGTTGTGATAATGAATTAATCAAAATGCAATGTCTCTAACCACCATAACAAAACAAAATAGAATCCCTACATCAAATAATAATCAAATATATCAATTTGACATTAAAAATACTTTATGTATAAAATCAAAATGGTCTTGGATTTTTCCTCTTGAAATTTCGGACATCACATATTTGAAATATATCATATTTTATTTTTGACATCAATAATTATCATATAATTAAAATGATGAAAAATAAAATAATATATATATA